GTAATCCTAGCGCTTTGGGAGACTAAGGTAGGTAGATCACCAGGTCAGGAGTTCGAGACCAGCCAGGCCAACGTGGTGAAATCCTGTCTCTACTAAAAATACAAAAATTAACCAGGTGTGGTGCTGCACGCCTGTAATCCCAGCTACTTGGGAGGCTGAGGCAGGAGAATCGCTTGAACCTGGGAGGCAGAGGTTGCAGTGAGCTGAGATCTCCACACTGCGCTCCTCTATCTCAGAAACAAAAAAAGGCAAGGAAACTGGAAGCCCAGAGAGGTTAAGGGAGGAGTTCCTCCATACCAGGAACCTGCTTTCGTGGGGGATGCTGAGGAAGATAATAAAAGTTGTTCAGGCCAGGCGGGGTGGCTCATGGCTGTAATCCTAGCACTTTGGGAGGCTGAGATGGGACCATTACTTGAATCCAGGGATTTGAGACCAGCCTGGGTAACAAAGTGAGACTCTATCTCTACAAAACATTATTATTATTATTTTTTGAGATCAAGTTTTGCTCTTGTTGCCCAGGCTGGAGTGCAATGTCACGATCTTGGCTCACTGCAACCTCCGCCTCCCAGCTTCAACCGATTCTTCTGCGTCAGCCTCCCGAGTAGCTGGGATTACAGGCGTGCGCCACCACGTCCAGCTAGTTTTTGTATTTTTAGTAGAGACGGGGTTTCACCATGTTGGTCAGGCTGGTCTTGAACTCCTGACCTCAGATGATCCACCCTCCTCGGCCTCCCAAAGCGTTGGGATTACAGGTGTGAGCTACCGTGCCTGGCCACAAAACACTTTTTTTTAAATGTACACTTGTGGTCCCAGCTACTCTGGAGGCTAAGGTGGGAGGATCAGCAGCCATCAGTGGGTCTCCCTCTGCTGTCTCCATCTCTTCCCATCTGCTACGGTCCCACTCCTGAATTCCCTCCTGCTTCCTCTTTCTCCTGCTTCTCGGTTTCCACTCTTTCTCCCAGGTTTCACTTCCCCAAGCACAGTGGTTCTCCTCCTGGGAGGGAGGACAGTGTGACTGCTGTGATTCCTTTGCCAGTGGGCATGAGAGCTGTTGGTAGCACTGGGTCTGGGTGCCAGGGTCCTGGGGCCCTCCCAGCTCAGCCTAGGGGTAGAAATGTGGTGACTCCTCTAGCCCCAGGTCCAGAAGCACAGAGGGGTGAGGCAGAGGGAGGAGTGGGAAGCAGGAGGAGTTCACTATGCAAGGACATGCCAACAAGTGGATAGGTATAGAGATGCCGAGGCCTGGCCCCAAGAGGCAGTCGCACAGTGACATGGCTGTAATCGCTGCAGCCCTGGGAGGATGTGGCGCACGTACACATACAGACACACTCACGGGGGGGAAATGTGGATGGTGCCCACATTCACCTCTCACAGCTGCCGTGAACACAGAGACTCCTGCAGGGCCCAGAACACGTGGGCTGTGTCATTTGGCGGCAGCTGCAGCCCACATACACACAGATACAAATAGAGAGAGTGCCAGCCCATCGCATAAACACCGCCCAGCCTGGGAGGCTCACTGGGACACAACATGAGCAGAGACTTCAACGGGGACCTGGTGCAACAAAGTAATACAAATATATTCCATAGGGTCATGGTCGCAACCGCTGTACACCAGACACTGATTCAAACAGACAGTGTCATGCATGCGCACACACATCGCGGCATCACAGCCCCAACAGGAAATGGATCCCCCAGCAGCTGCCTCCTCTCCCACGGGGTCACAGTCACAAACAGCCCCAGGGTGCCTGTCCACTGTTGGACCCGTCACAATCCCACCAGACACACCCCACACAGAGGTTTGACGCGTCACAACCGCACAGACAGCAGGTTGGTCTTACCCACTCAGTCTGACATCCCACACCCTCTGCCACACACGCACCGCTCCAGCCTGGGGAGTCCCACAGGGCCCACAGACTGCAGGCGACCCCGTCACGCCCAGATACACTGTCACACCCAGGGTCCCAGACGGAGCAGACACACCCCCAGGGTGGCAGACGCAGCTCTCACACGCCCAGCCCCAGCTCGTGCCTCAGCCTGAGGACAAGTGCTGGCTGCGCATTTGCGGTGTGGTTGGCCTGTCTGCCCCGCCCTCGTGACACACCCCGCCCACCTGCCTGGGGCTGCCGGCTGAGCTGGCACAGCCCCGCAGGGCGGGGAGGGGAAAGTGTGGGCTCAGCACCTTCCCCGGCAGCGTGCGGGCTGCCCCTGCCCTGCCACCCTGGCACCCAAGTCCGCTGGGTGGCTCGGCCCCGTCGGAACAAGTCTGCCCTCCGCCTGTGGCCAACCACAGGGGCAGGGCAGTGGGTTCGGGGCGCCCCGCGCCCTGTTCCCGCCCCGCCCCCGCCTCTGCAGGCAGCCGGGGCCACAGAGGGAAGTCGTGGGGGGAGCCTGGGTTCCGGCTGGAGCCCCAGCTTCCTGTCCGGCCCGGTGGGGCAGGAAGCCGCTGGGGGAGGCCAACTCAGGCCTCCCTGCCCCCTCCCATGACAGGCCTGGGACCCCAGTCAGCGAAGGGGAGCGGGGAGGTGTGGGGGTCGGTGAGAGAAAGCCCCTTTCCCCTCATTCTCTGGACCTGCACAGTGAGGTTCCAGCGTGGATTTGTGTTAGGACCTCATTGTGTCTGTGTGATTGCGAGCTTTGTGATTTAAGTTGTGTCTCAAACGGGGTGTTCTGGGGGCCTGCGTGCTGTGTGGTAAGGACTGCCTCATTTGTGTGTGTGTCCCCAACACGTGTTAGCTCCGTGTGTTTGTGACTGTGCTGCATTTCTGGAGTGTGCGTTTGTATTTCTGCGGGGCAAGCTGTTGTATTTTCTGTGGGTTTTATGCCCGGGCACTGTTTGATTCTGCCAGTTGGCCATGTATCTGGGGCAAATCGTGTGTCTGATACTTTTCTCAACATCTTCGCTGTTATTCTGGGTATAAATTTGTACATTTTTTAGTGTAAGTTTGACTTGAAATGTGGGTGTTTTCTGCATGTTAATCCATCTGTGAGAATTTTTTTTCCCAGGAGTGTGTGTGTGCGTGATGGAGTCTCGCTCTGCTGCACAGGCTGGAGGGCAATGCACAATCTCGGCTCACTGCAACCTTTGCCTCCTGGGCTAAAACGATTCTCCTGTCTCAGCTTCCCGAGCAGCTGGGATTACAGACACCCACCATCATGCCCAGCTAATTTTTGTATTTTTAGTAGAGATGGGGTTTCACCATGTTGGCCAGCCTGTCTTGAACTCCTGACCTCGTGAGCTACCCACCTCGGCCTTCCAAAGTGCTGGGGCTACAGATGTGAGCCACCACACCCAGCTGTGTGTGTTCTTACATGAGGCTGGTGAGTTGTGAGTTGTTTTCTGGGTTGCATTGTGATCAGTGTGTGTTGCTGGTATTCTGAGCAGTTTGTGTGTCTACGTGGTGTGTGTCCAGCATGCTTGCTGTGGTTCTTGGTGTATGTGTGTGTGAGGGAGGGCTGTACTTCCGGATTGTGTGCGTCCGTCTCAGGGACTGGTGTTCCCAGCCTGTGGGTGCTGTGAGCAGGTGCTGAGGTGGTGTCTGCATTCTGTGTTCCCACAGGAGAGCTGGCGACTGCAGTGTGTGGAGTTGTGTGCATCTGTTGTGCATGACCATTGAGGGCATTTCACATTCTCAACAGGGGTGGATGTGTGTCTTGCAGGCAGCTGCGAGTGTGGGTCTTGGGTCTGCATTGTGTGCTGGGTGCGTCCATGAAGCTGCCGGCATCGTAAGTGACCAGTGCCTGTTGGCCTCCATACCCAGCACAGGCTGTTTCTGCAGCGCATCCCCTTACCAGCTGGTGCCACGCTGGCTCAGAGCTGGCTGTGGCAGCAGGCAGGGCAGGGCAGGGGCTGTGGTGGGCACTGGACCCGCGCCCAGCTTCGGTATAAATATCCCAGGCTGCCACTGTGTTTGCTGTGTTTACTCGGCCTCAGCCCCAGCCCAGGGGCGGCAGCAGCCCAGCAGGTCCTGGGGGTGGGGGTGACCAGGCCACAGCACAGACATTTCCTTCTGGATAGACAGGCCCCGCAACCTCGCTGCCCCTTCCTGTGCCCTTTTTGGGTGGGCAAGAGGTGGTGACCTCTCATTCTGGGTTTCCAGGGGCTGCCAGTGAGGCTCCAACCTGGTTGTCCCAGCTGGGCTTCCCAGAGTGTGGGAGACAGAAGAGATGGTGCCTGGGGTACGGGCCAAGGCATACAGCAGGGAGGGGAAAGGGCAATGTGAGGGTAGAACAGAGTCCCCAGAGGGAGGCTCCAGCAGAGAAAGGGACAGTGAAACGAAGTGGCAGGAGCCGAGAGAATGGCTGGGGACAAGGAGTGGAAACGGTGGGGAGGAGAGGGAGGGAGGGAGGGACGAAGAAGCATGTGAAAAACAAGGGAGGAGAGGGAGAGACGGAAAGTAACAGGGAGACATCGACAACTAGAGAGGTGCGGAGACAGAAGGAGAAGACAGCAGTGGCGGTGAGGGAGGAAGGCAGCGGGCAGGAAGGAAACGCAGAGAAGCAGGGAGAAGTGACTGTGGACAGAGGGACAGAGTGGCAGGAGCTGGAGGGGGAGTGCAGGGAGGCAGCTCCCTCTGGCAGGACGCACAGGGCGGGGGGAGGTGGCGGGGTGCCGGCCAGGCCAGTGCCAGGACGGACAGGAGACACAGGGGTGGGGGCCGGATGCCCACCTAGGGGCTCTCTCCCAGCGGGGCCTGCCCTCCCTGACTCAGCCTTTCCGCCTACCCCGACCCCAGGAGAACTGGGGGATGGAAGGTGCCTACCCTGGGGGCCCACCGCCCCCATGCAGTGACCAGGTGTGTCTCCCGCCATCCCTGCCCCACTCTGTCTCCACCTCTCTTCCTGTCTCCCCATCTAATCCCTGTCGCTGGGACCGGCTCCACCTCTGTCTGTCAACTAGACGCTCCGGTCTTGCCCATCTGACTAAACCTAATTCTGACTCAATTTCTGTGTCTCTCATCGCTTTTTAAAAATGGTCACAACAAATTTACGTTATAGCAAAGTATAGCATAAACAAATTTAATGACCAAATGACAGACTGGTCAAAAATGTGCCTATCACCAAAGGCTGATACTTTTCCTGTGGCCCAGGCCCTCTGCTCTTACAAACAGGGCACAAATGCAGATACTAAGAGACATACAGCTCTCATCTTGCACTCTTGGCTTTCTGAGAGGTGTGACCCCGAGGTCCTGGAGTCTGGCTGCTGAATTATCTTGGGCCTGGCAACCGCTTCCTCCTCTGGGTGAAGAGGAGTGATATCAGTAGTCCCTAGCGCATGGCACAGCTGGGCCAACTCAGTGATTCGGAGACTGATCTCCACGTGATGACCCGATCTTGTCTGTGTGCAGGACAGTACCCAGCACGGGGCGTTGGGCCCGCCATCTGACCCTTCTCCAGCCTTCCTGTATGAGGACGCCTGCGTGTGCAGTTGTCCCTCCAACGCCGTCTGGCTCTGGATGGCCCCAACACCTGACCAGCCAGACAGCCCAGTGGTCTCTAGGACCTTTGTGGCCCTAGGCCTGGGTTCATGTGTCACATCTGTCTCTGAAGGCTGAGTGGCCTTGAGGAAGCACCTTTCCAGGCCTCCCCTGATCCACTTCACTGGGTCAGTTGACCGTGCTATTGCTCGGGCCTGGAGAGGACAGAAGCGCTCCATAGTGGAGGCTTTCGTTCTTTAGTAGTTGCTCTGTCTGAACATCTGTCTCCTTCCGTCCAGCTCTCACTTTCCCTGTCTGGCTCGAATTCTGGTTGACCCAGAGGGCACAGCTGAGGCTTGGAAGTCAGGAACCGTGGACTCCAGGAAGCAGTTTTGAGGGTCCTTCAGGCTGGCCACGGCAGGACACCACCTTTCCATCACACAGGCATGAGGAGTCCCCAGGCACTGTCTTGCTGACCCTTGGCCTGTGCACCCCAACAGTGGCCAGGCCCTTCTGTGTGTGTGTCTGCTGGGGGAGCAGGAGCTGGCTGTGGGGGCATGGGAAGGCGGGACGCCTGGGTTCCCACAGGCTTGTGGCTGAGTCACCAGGCGGCCATCTGGCTCCCATTAGCCCAGGGCGGCAGGGGGCTCCATGGGGCGGGCCCTGCGGCCAGCTGGGGGCAGGGATGCTGGGGCAGGCTGCGTGTGGGATGACTCAGGACCCATGATAACAGCCTGTGCACATTTGGGGAGTGTAAACAGGAGAGGGAGAGGAAGGCGGAGGAAGGGAAAATTGTGGTTGGGCAGAGGGGGGCTGGTGGGGCTGAGAGGGTAGAGTCCCCCCTCCCTCTACACTCAAGCTGGCAGGCCCCGTGACCCGCAGCCTGGGTCCTTGGGAGAGATGAGAGCTGCCCCCCAGCCTCCCTTCCCCAGGGTCTCCTCCCTCCCCTGGGGCTGCATTACTCAGTGGTCAGCATACTGCCTAGCCGACAGCTGCCAGGTTTGAGGGAAGGGGAAAGAAGGGGCCCAGAGCCTGGAGCAGGGGATTGAAACCCAGAGATAAAGGCTGAGAGACAGATAGAGAGGGACAGTGACAGCAGACGCCTAGAGAGGTGGAAATGTACAAGCAGAAAGAACCAGAGGCCCAGAGTGAGACAGGAGAGATGGGAACCTAACAGAAGTGAGGAGGCTCTAAGTGTGAAACAGAGTGCAGACATAAACAGAGGGGGAGGCAGACGCACAGGAGGCGGCCACGCCAGGGCCCAGGGGTCAGCACTGGAACCAAACCGGCCACTTCCAGCCATGAAAGGCCCTGCCAGCTGGCATCCAGCAAGGGGAGGACTTTCACCTTGGGCCCTGCGGTGGAGACAGAAGCCTCAGGCAGAGAGAAAAGGGGAGACAGGGAGAGACAGCCAGCCAGAGCACTGGAAAGAGAGAGCGGGGGTAGGGAGAAACAGAAAGAAGCCGAGACAGGCAACGACAGGCAGGAGACGGAGTGGGAGAGAGGAGAAAGGTACGGAACCCCAGAAACAAGAGGGGGTGGGCTTGCCTGAGATGAGACTAGACCCAGCGAGATGGTGGTATGTATGGGTCGGTAGGTGCTGTTTTGATATGCCCATAGAGAAAGGGTCACTGAGCTGGCCTGGAATCAGCTGCCTTGTTGGGGTCGAGGATGGGGCAGGCGGTGAGAAGGGTGGCGGCCTTCAGTCCCCATCCAGCTCTGGGCTGGGCGCGTCTTCAGGCTCCTCCTCATCGAAGTACCTCTCCTCCTCATCCCGTGCCACGATGTCCAGGTTGTCGAAGTCGGGGTTGTCGTCTACTGCGCTACAGGGGGAGGAGGCTGTCAAGGACTGGGTCTTCCTGGGACAAGGGTCTGGGGCACTCTGATGTCAAAGGTCATGTGCTGGCAGCTGTCAGAGCTGACCCTCCGAGGGGGACGGTGGGCCTCTCAGGGTTTAAAACTAAAGGAAACAGTTTCCAAATCAGAGTTTGCACAAAAACTCCAGGCTGGGCATGATGGCTTATACCCGCAAGCCAGCATTATGGGAGGCCAAGGCAGGAGGATGGCTTGAGCCCAGCAGTCAGAGCCTTAGGCAACAGAGGGAGACCCTGTCTCTACAAAAAAATGGAAAAAGTAGCCAGGTGTGGTGGCAAGCACCTGTAGTCCCAGTTTACTCAGGAGGCTGAGGCGGGAGGCTCGCTTCAGGCCAGGAGGTCAAGGCTGCAGTGAGCTATAATCAAACCACAACATTCCAGCCTGGGTGGCAAAGAAGGCCCTGTCTAAAACAAAAAAAACCCCAAAAACTCTAACTTTTCTTAAAAAGTTGTAAAATGTGGCGACACAGGGGAGTACTTCCCCAGCAGGCAGTGGCTCTCCACAGAGAACCACGTGGGGGTGATTCTGCCTTCACCACTGGGGCTTGCTACTGCCCTCCAGTGGACAGAGGCCGGGGACCAGCCAGACCCGACCACAGGCAGGACAGCTGCCCATGCCCTAGGGCAGCAAGCAAACCCAGTGGCAATCACTTGGGTCGCCAAGCCCAGCTTGATCTGGCCACTCAGAGCTCTCCTAACCATTGTGACTTCTGGCCCCTTCTGTCCCTTGGTGCTGCTGAAGGCTGGCACTGGCTGTGGCCTCTGCCAGGAATGCTCCTCCCCCTCCCCCCACTGACTTTCTGCAGGCCTTTGCTGTCCCCCCCTCAGAGAGGCCTTCCCTGGCCACCCTGTCACTACCCTCCCCATGCTTCACTTTTCCTCATGGCTCCGTCACCATGAAGTGCTAGGAAATTCTCCATCTTCCTAACTAGAGTGGCTCCTCTTTCCAGGCGGGGAAGCCTTTCCTTGGTTTTGGTCTCTGCCTTATTCCCAGAGCCTGTGGATGTCACAGATGCTCGGCACATGCTGACTGAATGCACAGATGGGGGTCGTGTCGAGGCCACTGCAGCCCAACAGCTGCCTTCCTGAGAGGACACACTGGTCCCCCAATTTCCTCCTGGGCCCCTGGCTTGGGAACAGCAGTAGTGCCTGCTGACTGAGCATCACTGTGGTCCAGGCCCTCTGCTCACTACTCTGTGTGCAGGAACCGGGGTTCTGAGCAGGCGGTCCTGGCTGGAAGTGGAACAGCCAGATTCCATGCAAGAGCTGGAGATTCCAGAACTGGTGGAGGCTCCGGTGATTATGGCTGGGCCCCATGGCAGTGGCAATCACAATTCCCACTTTCCTGATGAGCCCACCTCAGGACAGACGTGGGGTCTGCCTATGTGTGGTCACACATTACTTACGTCATCGAAGCTGGATATGAAACCAAGGAGAGCCCTCTGCTGCCGGGCCCAGTGTTTGGGACCACAAGGCAAAGCTATCTTAAATTACAAAACCAATCTTTGACTGACACGTCACTCTCCTGGGTCCTTTTCAAAGCAGGTGGCCCATGTTTCTCAGCCCTGGGATGCTACTGGAGAAATGAACAACTGGCAACTGCGGGGACAGCCAGCACAGGCCCCTCCATGCCGGGCATGAACCCTGCCAGGGGTTACTTCCTGCAGCACGAGGAGGTCCAAGGTCCTGGGGAAGAGGTTGGGCTTTCTAGGGACACTTGGAGGGAGTTGGGGTAGTGGCCTCTGCCACCTGCCAGAAGGGAAGTGTTTCAGGGTTTCATTGATACTGAGCTACATGCCATCCCTGCTCACTCTTGCCTTACAGGTGAGGAGACTAAGGGTCTGACATGGACAGGGCTCATCCAAGGTCACCTAGCCTCCTCCTTTGGCTGTTCAACCCCACAGTCCACATCCTAGAACTGTTTCAGGGCCTTCCAGCTCCACGAAGGGAGGCCCCCACAGCTTGGCCAGGGCTCTGCATGTGGCCAGAGGCCATGGGATGCTGGGCTGGGGGATGGGGAGGTGGGGGGGGGCACCAGGAGCACCTGTAGTCAAAGTCCCCGTCCTTGCCATCCAGGAAGCGCTGGTGCATCCGGCTGGTGAACTCTTCTCGCAGGATCAGCCTCTCCTCTGAGTCAGGGACCCAGGCCTCCGAGTCCTTGCCTGACCTCTGGTCTGCAGAGGGAGACCAGAGAGGGTGTGAATGAGGGTGCACTCGGGCAGGCACTGAACACAGTCCACAGAAAGCTGCTGCTCCTGTGCCCAGCCTTGTGCTGGGTGGCTCTGGGAACATAGCAGTGACAGAGATGGCCCTGGTCCTTGCCCTCCAGGGGCATGCAATCACATGACCATACAGTGCTCTGGAGACCGTATCCTCTCAGGATGAGACCTGAAGGGTGAAAGGAGAGGCATTCCTGGCAAAGGGAACAGCCTGAGCAAAGACCTGTTGGCAAGGGATCATTTGGTGCCTTGGAGGAGCGGGGGGCAGGGATGCTACAGGTTTGGAAGGGCACACAGGGAGAGGGTCAGGCCAGGCAGGTGAGGGACACAATGTCGGCTTTTGCAGGCTGGGGGCCCAGTCTGCTGCCATGAAGTGGAGACAGGCAGGCCCAAGACTGGGGTGTCTGGAATCTGGGGTCTCCCTGCTACTGGCCCTCACCTTCCTCATCACTGTCCTCCTCCTCTTCCTCTTCCTCCAAGCAGGCCTCCTCCTCCTCTTGCTGTTGGAGCAGCCGCTGCTGCAGCTCCCGCTCCTCGTAGGATTGGAGCAACAGGTTGGAGAGCGGGCAGGCGGGTCTGCCAGGGGACCCGGGCTTGGGAGGCTGGTGGGTCGGGGTGCGGGCACTGAGCTCCTCCTGGGTGAGATACTGCCCGATGTACTGCTCGTACAGCAGGGGGGCCCGGAACCGCATCTGCTCATCACTGAAGTACTCACCCCCTGCACAGAGGAGAGAGAGGGTGGGCATGGGGTGAGTGACTGGGCACACCTGTCCGTGTGGGTGTGTATGTGATCACGCTTGTGGGATGATGTGTATACAGTCCAAGTGTGTGCGTGCACACATTCAGAAACACAGGAACATATGCAGGCACCTGAGGTGGGCGTGAGTCATCATGCAGGTGCCCGAGGCTGTGCGCACAAGCACCCATGCAGGTGCCTGAGTATGTGTGCGTAGCCCAGCCTGAATCTTCCCCCAGTATTCATGCATCCAAGCATGTGTGTGCCTAGGTAGACCTGGCTCCATCCTGGCCTCTGAGGCTCTGAAGGTCTGGAGCTGGTGTACAGCTGTGCCCAGGCACGATACACAAGCTCCTGCCTGTGGATGTGTGTATGGCCCGCATCCACAGACTTCTCCGTGAGGCCCAGCATATGCCCACAGGCACCTGTCTGTCTAGGTGTCAGCATGCAGGAATGCAGCAGGTTGTGTGTGCCTGTTTGTGAGGCCCTGGTCTGGCTGGCAGCGGACGCACCTGGACACACCTGCACTGCAGGGTGTGTCTGTGCGTACATCCACGTGGCTCTGGCACGTGTGTGCAAGGGATCAGGTCAGGTGGGGCGTCTGCCCATGTGAGTATCCCTGGGAAAGCCAGGCCCTCCTGGTGGCAGAAGGCCCTAGATCTGACCTCTCCCGAATGCACCCCCTTGGGTGGACCTGGCTTCCCCACTGTCCCCAAACCTGGGTTCTTTGCATGTGCCCTGGCTGCCTGTTCCTGCAGGAGCAACTCTGTCCCTCAGATAACAGTTAAACCTGCCCCAGTCCCTCCCTTCCACTGGTCCTAGCCCCATCTTCAGAGCCTGGGGTCAAGAAACTGCCCAGACTCCTGGCCTCTGCAGCACCGTAGGCTGTGACTGTCCCTGTCCTGCTCAGCTTCCCCACTCCCGCCAGCTCTTTCCCAGCTGTTTCCGGCATCCTCTAGCAGATTCCGTTTTTTGAGATGGAGCCTCATTCTGATCCCAGGCTGGAGTGTTGTGGCATCATCTTGGCTAACTGCAACATCCACCTCCTGGGTTCAAGTGATTATTCTCCTCCCTCAGCTTCCTGAGTAGCTGAGGTTACACCCGCCTGCCACACAGTGCTTGGCTGATTTTTCTGTATTTTTAGTAGAGATGGGGTTTCACTATATTGGCCAGGCTGGTCTTGAACTCCTAATCTCAAGTGATCCACCTGCCTCGACCTCCCAAAGTGCTGGGATTACAGGAGTGAGCCACAGTGTCCAGCCTCTAGCAGATTCAGTTTCTATCCCTCCTTCTCCCTAACTTGGATTATCACCCATCCCGGCTCTGGGTCTCTCTCCATCTCTTCCTTTATCTCCATCTATCTTTCCTGCTTTTCTCAGTTTCTGTCACCTACCCCCACCTCATTCAATCATTCATCTTCCTTTTTTTTTTTTTAGTAACCTCTGCCTCCCAGATTCATGCGATTCTTCTGCCTCAGCCTCCTGAGTAGTTGAAATTACAGGTGCCTGCCACCATGCCTGGCTAATTTGTTTGCATTTTTAGTAGAGATGCAGTTTCACCATGTTGGCCAGGCTGCTCTGGAACTCCTGACCTCAAGTGATCTGCCCTCTTCGGCCTCCCAAAGTGCTGGGATTACAGGCTTGAGCCACCGACCCAGCCCATCTTTCACTTTTTTTTTTTCTTTTGAGACAAGTTCTGGCTCTACAGCCTAGGCTAGAGTTTAGCGGTGGGATCTCAGCTCACTAAAACTTCCACCTTCTAGGCTCAAGCAATTCTCCCACCTCAGCCTCCTGAGTAGCTAAGACTACAGGGATGCACCACCACGCGTGGCTAATTTTTGTATTTTTTGTAAACACTGGGTTTCACCATGTTGCCCAGGCTGGTCTTGTCCTCCCAAGTTCAAGAAATCTGCCCACCTTGGCATCCCAAAGTGTTGGGATTACAGGCATGAGCCACCGTACCCAGCCTCTCACTCTTTCTCTATGAGCCTCTCTATAACTTGTGCCTTCTCCCTAACAATTTAACTTACTCTCTGCTTCACTCTCATCTTTTAACGTTGGTTCTGGTGTCGTGGTCACAAGGATGCTTTTAATTATGTTATGGTCAAAAAGCTTTGAATCATTTTTTTCCTTCATGGTTTTCAGAGGGTGTCTTGTTCAGAAGGCTTCTGTGTCCTCAAGGTCATGTACGAACTCATTCTGGTTTCCTCTGATGCCTTTGTATAAGGTGTAAGGTAGGGATGATCTCATGTTTTCTTCCTTAGGTATAACCAATTATCACAGCACTGTGTACTGTGTCCTCAGCTTACTGATCTGAAATGCCACTTCTGTCATCTACTAAATTATGATCTATTCTCACTGCCTGTCCCATTCTCCTCCCCTAGACCTGTCTATCTCTCCCCTTTACTTTGCATTTCTGTCTCAGTCTCTTCCTGTGTCCCTGTCTCTTTGTCTCAAAACTTCTCTCAGGATTTCTGTCTCTGTGTTTCTGTTCTTGCATTCTTTTTTCTAATTCCCTCTGCCTCAGTCTCCCCTCCTTCCCCATCTGTGCCCACTCTCACCCATCTGGCCCCCACACCTTGGATCAGCTCTCGTAGGGCAGCGTAGCGCCGGTTACGGAGGCGGGTACGCAGGGTGCGGGGCCGGGCAGTGCCCTGCTGGGCCACCTCAGCACAGTAGAAGTCTGCACGGTGGTCGCCACGCACATGACCAAAGCAGGCCAGGTGCTCCTCACGGAGGCCTGTGCGGAAGCGCTCCAGGAACACCAATGGCTTCTCATGATACAGCTGGGCCAGGATGGCTACTTTCTCACGCTCTGTCAGGTCAGGTTCACCCTGCTGCTGGCTGCACACAGGCAAGCGGCTGGCAGCCACAGCATGCAGCATGGCACTCACTGCTGCATTTTCAGCCGTGGAGGTGTCACTGTCCAGGGCCACTGGCGTTGCCTCAACTGCTTCCACTTTGTCCTGGGGTTTAGATGGGACTGCTGTCTGGCTCAGCTCACCCCAGTGTCCAGGTCTAGGCTCCGTGCAGCCTGAGGAAAGGAGAGATTTGTTAGTTCAGAGATGGGTATGTGGGAGGGGACCGCGTGCTTAGTCACTCACTCAGCTCACATTTACTGGGTACCTACTATATTCTGGGCACTGTTCTGGGCACTAGAGAAACCACAGTGAGCAAATGTTGACATTTTAGTAGGGGACACAATTAGCAACATAATTACCGAAAACAATATGTGTTCTGTGTTTCCCAGAGTTTTGTGGAAAAATAAAGAGGGAAGGAGGAGGTAAGGAGGTGGAGGAGGCTGTAATTTTCTTTTCTTTTCTTTTCAAGACAGGGTCTTGCTCTGTCACCCAGGCTGGAGTGCAGTGGCGTAATCATGTCTCACTGCAGCCTTGAGAGATCCTCCCATCTCAGCCTCCCATGTAGCTAGGACCATAGGCACATACCACCATGGCTGGCTAATTTTTAAATTTTTTGTAGAGACAGGATAATGACATGTTACTCAGGCTGGTCTCGAACTCCTGGGCTCTAGCAACCCTCCTGCCTTGGCCTCCCAAAGTGCTGGGGATTAAAGGCGTAAGCCACTGTGGCCGATTTTTATTTTTTTTAGAGACAGGGTCTTGCTTCATTGCCAGGCTGAAGTGCAGTGGTGCAACCGTGATTCACTGTAAGCTTGGACTCCTGGGCTCAAGCAATCCTCCCACCTCAGCCTCCTGAGTAGCCAGGACTACAGGTATACACTACCATACTTCACTTAATCTTTAAATCTTTAAGTTTTTTTTTTTTAAAGTTTCCGTAGAGACAAGGTTTCACTAGGTTGCCCAGGCTGGTCTCAAACTCCTGAGCTCAGGCGATCCTCCCACCTTGGCCTTCCAAAGTGCTGGAATTACAGGCATGTGCCAATGGACCCCACTTCATTTTAATTATTTTGGTAGATACAGGATCTTGCTGTGTGGCCCAGGCTGGTTTTGAACTCCTGGCCTCAAATGATCCTCTTGCCTCAGCCTTCAAAGTGCTGAGATTACAGCGTAAGCAACCATGCCTGGCTAAGGCTGCAATTTTAAATGGAAGACTCAGAGAAAACTTTGCCAAAAAAGTGGCATTTGAGTAGAGACCTGAGGTGGTGAGGGATTAAGCCATGAGATCTCTTGGAAAAGAGAATTCCAGGCAGAGGAAACAACTACTGCAAAGGCCCTGAGGCCTGACTTACTGAGCCAGTCAATTCTTTTTTTTTTTTTAAGATGGGCTTTCACCACATTGGCCAGGCTGGTCTTGAACTCCCAACCTCAGGTGATCCTCCCACCTTGGCCTCTAAAGTGCTTTGATTACAGGCATGAGCCACCACGCCCGGCTGGTCCAGTCAATTCTTTAAATCATTAATACATTTGCTAATTTGCTTGCTCATTCATTCACACTCTCAGGCATCCATGCACTCAACCACTCTTTAATAACTCTAACTCTCTGAGAGGCCCTATATCAGGCAATGCTGAGGATCCATGGGATGAATCCAGTCCAGCTCCTGCCCTCAGGAGGTATCCAGTCTGATGTGGGATACAGTCAGGATCAAAGATAATACAGGCAAAGTAAACAGGAAAGCTGGCTGGGCACCGTGGCTCATGCCTGCAACCCAGTACTTTGGGAGACCGAGGTGAGCAGATCACTTGACACCTCAAATTCGAAACCAGCCTGGCCAACATGGTGAAACTCCGTCTCTACTAAAAATACAAAAATCAGCTGGGCATGGTGGTGGGCACCTGTAATCCCTGCTACTCAGGAGGGTGAGGCACAAGAATCACTTGAACCCAGTAGGCGGAAGTCGCCGTGAGCTGAGATTAGCCATTGTCCTCCAGCCTGGGTGACAGAGCAAAGACTATCTCAAAAAAAAAAAAAAAAGAAGAGAAAACAGGAAAGCAGAGCGCTTGGCAAACTGTGGTGAGAGCTGTTTCCCAAGAGTGGAGGGAGCAGGCCTGCAGCAAGTAGGAAATGCGTGAAGACAAGAGTATAGAGACAACTCCTTTAGGAGGCGTGGCTGGGTTGGGGAGAGAAGGGGTGACGTTACATGTGTAGTGTGTATCAGGGAGGATTTCAATCATCAATGCAGCTGAAGACTGAAATGGACAAGGGCAGGGGCTGTGGAGGAAGGAAGAGGATCATGAGTGAGTGAATTAGAAAGATGTCAAGAGGCTGAGTGGAAAAACCATCAGGCCAATGTGCTGGGAGGTAAGGGAGGCATCCAGGGTGAGGTCCCAGACTCTGGCCTCGGGAATGGTCTGACTGCTGCTACACGGGCCTCCAGACTCCTCAGGAGAGAAGTGCTGGGCTGGAGACAGAGCTGTGGGTGTCATCAGAGTCAAGACAAGAGCCAGCCGGGCGCGGTGGCTCACGCCTGTAATCCCAGCACTTTGGGAGGCCCAGGTGGGTGGGTCACAAGGTCAGGAGTTCAACACCAGCTTGGCTAACATAGTGAAACCCCATCTCTACTAAAAATACAAAAATTAGCCGAGCATGGTGGCACATGCCTGAAGTCCCAGCAACTCGGGAGGCTGAGGCAGGAGAATCGCTTGAACCCAGGAGGCAGTGGTTGTGGTGAGTCGAGAGTACGCCACTGCACTCCAGCCTGGGCAACAGAGCAAGACTCTGTCTTAAAAAAAAAAAAAAAAAAAAAAAAAAAAGGACAAAAGCCAAAGCCAAGGAAAATGAGAAAGGTATGGGTCGGGGAGGCAGGGGGAGTGAGAGAGGGATGAGAACAGGGTCCAGGAAAAAGCCCTGCACAGATGTGGAGAGGAATGCCTCTGGAGCTAAAAACTGGCTGTCCAAAATATAGCTACATCTTAATCCCTGGAACCCATTACTGTTACCTTAAACAAAAAAAAAAAAAAAAAAAAAAAAGAGGTAGGTCGCAATGGTTCACCCCTGTAATTCCAGCACTTTGGGAGGCCAAGGTGGGTGGATCCCTTGAGGTCAGGAGCTCAAGACCAGCCTGACCAACATGGCAAAACCCCATCTCTACCAAATATACAAAAAATTAGCCGAGTGTCATGGCACATGCCTGTAATCCCAGCTACTCAGGAGGCTGAGGCAGGAGAAATGCCTGAACCTAGGAGGCGGAGGTTGCAGTGAGCTGAGTTCTAGCCATTGCACTCCAGCCTGGGTAACAAGAGCGAAACTCCGTCTCAAAACAAACATACAAACAAACAAACAAATGGTTCTCTCCCAGTGGGGGAACACAATGCTGCAGACACCTGGATTTCAGCTCAGCAACACTGACTTCAGAACTTTGGCCTAGAGAACTATGAGAGAACAAAGTTCTGTTGCTTCAAGCCATGCAGTCTGTGATCCTTTGTTACAGCACCTCTGGGAAACAAAGTCAGAGGCTGAGAAGGAGCAGCTCAAAAGGCAAGAAATAAGGCACTGTGGTGTCACAGAAGCCAAACGAAAGTGTGTAAGAAGGAAGGGTCAACATCTTTTAATTCCACTCCAGACTAGTAAGAAAAAACCTGAATGGGCGAGGTGTGGTGGCTCACACCTGTAATCCCAGCACTTTGGGAGGCTGAGGTGGGAAGATTTCTTGAGGTCAGAAGTTCGAGACCAGCCTGGCCAATATGGTGCAACCCCCATCTCTACTAAAAACAAAAAAAATTAGCCAGGCGTGGCAGTGGGTGCCTGTAATCCCAGCTATTTCAAAAGCTGAGGCATGGGAATCACTTTGAACCTGGGAGATTGCGCCACCGCACTCCGGCCTGGGCAACAGAGCGAGACTCTCTCTCAGAAAACAAAAACAAAAATACCTGAATGGGGTAACTGGATTGAACGACATGGGGGAAGTAAGTGGGGATCCTAATCAGAGCAGTTTCTTAGGGTAAAAGTCAGACAGTGATAGGCAGGAGGTAAGGAAACGTAGATAAGTATACATGACTCTCTGGAGGAGATAGATGGAGCCAAGAGATAGAGTTTTTCTTTTTCTTTTTCTGAAACAGGGTCTCATTGTGTTGCCCAGGCTGGAATATGATAGTGCAAACACAGCTCACTGCAGACTCAACCTCCTGGGCTCAAGTGATATTCCCATCTCAGCTTCCTAAGTAGCTAGGACCACCGGAATGCACCATCACACCTGGCTTTTTTTTTTGAGACGATTTCACTCTGTCACCCAGGCTGGAGTGCAGTGGTGCGATCTCTGCTCACTGCAATCCACCTCCTGGGTTCAGGTGATTCTGGTTGGTGCCTCAGCCTTCCAGGTAGCTGGGATTACAGGCACATGCCATGATGCCTGGCTAATTTTTGTATTTTTAGTAGAGATGGGTTTCGCTGTTAGCTGGGCTGGTCTCCAACTCCTGAGCTCAGGTGATCTGCCTGCCTCAGCCTCCCAAAGTGCTGCGATTACAGCCATGAGCCACTGCACCAGGCCTTAATTTTTAAATTTTTTGTAGAGATGGGGTCTCGCTATGTTGCCAGTGCTGGTCTCAAACTCCTGGGCTCAGGTCTCACTCTGTTGCAGAGACTGGAGTGCAGTGGTATAATAATCTTAGCTCCCTGAAATGTGAAAGGGTTCGAGTGATACTCCCACCTTAGTCTCGCGAGTAGCTTGCCCCAGCTACTCCCTAGCCACCAAGCCTGGCTAATTTTTAAATTTTTCTAGATACCGGGTTTCTTTATGATGCCCACGCTGGTCTCAAAACTCCTGCATTCAAGCAACCCTTCTGCCTTGGCCTCTCAAAGTGTTGGGATTATAAACGGGAGCCATTGCACCCGTCCTTAGATTTTTTTTTTTAGGTTAAATTTTTTATTTTTAGAAAATTTCAAACATACACAAAAGTAGATAATACAACGACACCTCTCCCTCCACCTCCATACACCCATCATCTCCATCTGGTTTCCACAATTACTAATTCTTGGCCAGTGGTGTTTGAGCCAGTCTTCCGACCACACCTCACCCCACATCGTATTATTTTGAGGGTTGCGGGGAAGCACAGAAACTGAGTAAAGGCTTTGAAAGGAGCCTGGCTGGATTTCGGACTCTGGGGATAAGGGGACTTAGAACGAAATGAGGGAATCGTTGGATTGGGGTTAAGTCAAGTTTGCATCAGGCAGGTAGAATTTTAGCCTAGAGAGGTAGGAGGATTCATCTGGGGCAAAGGAAGGCTCAGCCTGGCACAGGGAAGGAGGCAATGTGAAAAGAGCTGGCCCGAGACAATGCGGGAATTAGGCCGGGCAGAGAAGAGATTTTTGTTAACTCCAGAGTTAGCCTCGTAAGGAAATGACATGGAAAAGTGTTGGTCTGGAATCGGGAAGAGGTTAATTTCGGGGGGAAGGAATGGAGGAAAAGGAGGTCAGCCTGCGACAAGGGAGAGGATAATCTGGGCAAAGTGGTGAAGAGGACCGGTAAGGAGGAGGGGGACGGGTGTCCCCCTAAAACGAGTCCTCCTTCGCGCTCCTAGGGGAATAATTTCCCAGAGACACCGCAGCCGCACCCAACTGCTGCCTCCGCGTGACCAAGATCTCACCCTCGTCGGGTTCCTTCGTCGCCGCCGCAGTCGCCACGGCCTCCATCCTGATTCTCTGGGACTTGTGAACCACCGGGCTGACCCCGTACAACAACCTCACGCCCACGCACGCAAGAGACACTTCCGCCTGAGAATGTTCCGGGTCCGGGTGCGCCGCTGCGCCGGGGTACCAAAGTTCCGGTACTAAAGCAGACGTTGTATTGCGCATGCGTGCCTCTTTGGGGTCCTGCCTCTCGCCTCCAGAAAGGAAAGAGGCTCCCGGGTGAGAGGCCCTTAAACCGCTGTACTCAGTAGGAACCAGAACCATTGTTCGTTTGTTCGCTGCTGTGACCCTGGCTTCAAGCGTGCTTAATTCTGGGATGGATGATTAAAGGACTGTCCCCCGGAGCCTGGAGCTGTCATACTCTTGAGAGTGGGTTCGTGCTCTAGTTTAGACCTCCGCCTGTCCTTTTCCTTTCTCCACCCCTTCAGGAATCCAGGAATATTTACTAAGGCTTGACATTTTTTTTTTTTCTGAGACAGTGTCTCGCTCTGTTGCCCAGACGAGTGCAGTGGCGCGATCATAGCTCACTGTAACCTCACATTCCTGTGCTAAAGTGATCCTCCTGCCTCAGCCTTCGGAGTAGTTGGGACTACAGGAGCGCACCACCGCGCTTGGTTAATTTTAAAATTTTTTGTAGCGCTAGGGGTTCCACTTTGTTGCCCAGGCTGTTCTAAGTCCTGGCCTCAAGCAGTCCTCCCGCTTCAGCTTCTCAAAATTGCTGGGATTACAAGATGAGAGCCACAAGACTGGCTAACCCTGTCACTGGCTGGCATGAGATGGGTGGTGAGGTAGAACTTCCCATTCTGTGTTCCCAGGACCTGGAGGAAATCTGCAGGTGCAAAACAATTGCGGTCCTGAGTTCCCTATGGGATGGGTAGGGGCTCTATGTAGGCATTACCGGCATAGTAGACAGACATGCCACCAGTAACCACTCAGTGGCCAGGCCAGGGCTTTCTTTATTTGGGGGGAGAGGTACTTTTGCTCTTATTGCCCAGGCTGGAGTGCAATGACGCGAACTCGGCTCACCACTGCCTCCCAGATTCAAGTGATTCTCCTGCCTCAGCCTCCCGAGTAGCTGGGATTACAGGAATGCACCACCATGCCCGGCAAAACTTTGTATTTTTAGTAGAGACAGGATTTCTCCACGTTGGCCAGGCTGGTCTTGAATTCCCGACCTCAGGTGATCCGCCCACTTCAGCCTCCCAAAGTGCTGGGATTACAGGCTTGAGCCACTGTGTCCGGTCTGAACCTCATGATTTTTATGCAAAATTCCAGGTGCCACTGTATTCTCCAGTGCAGAGGTTCATGGCATTTGTGGGTTCCAAAAGGTATTTATGGCTCCTCAGAACAAAATAACCACTGATGCGATATTCAAAGAGGGAGCAGAAAGAGATGGAGCCAGCGAGGTTACCAGGTGCTAGGCCATGCGGGGCCTCATAAGCCATAGTAAGTAGCTTGACCTCCTTTATTCTGAAGGGAGTGGGCAAGGGGATCAAGACGAGATGTGTGAGGAAGTCCGTGGCTCAAAACAGAGGAAGAGCTTCCTCATTTGCATTCCCTTGAGGTCTGGGTATATGGAAGCCAAGGAGGTCATTTACCACCCATACCTAGGCATTACCAGGAGACGCCAGCAGAGGGTGCTGTACCACAGCACATGGACAGGCAGAGAAGGGGACTTTCCAGACTAAGGGCCCTGCTCCCTCCTGTTAACCTTGGTTCCTTCTCACGTTCCGATGCCCTACCCAAGATTCTGAGACTAGTCAGCTTCCCTCCCTTGTTTTTGCTGCCCATCTCCCCTTCACAAGGCTCTGAGCTCCCACCAGGGAAGGTTGGGGCTGAACTGGCTTCTCCTGTGGCCCAGCACTGTCCCTCACAAGGAGCCAGGAACACAGCACATACTGAGGGAATGAAGAAATAAGGTTGCTACGGACGAAGAACGATGGGCCATGGGGGTGCAATCTAGAGTCTTCTCCTGGCCCACTCCTCCAGGAAGCCCTCCCTGCATACTACCCCAGCTGACCTCTTGGTGCTGGCAGGTCTGTGTTCCCTGGAGTGGCAGCTCTGTGAGAACTGGGTCCAGGACTACCAAAGAACACAGCAGGTGCCTCACACACTGGATGAAACATGAAGCTCCCAGAATCCCCATGAATCTCCACCACAGAAGAGGCAGGAACGGTCCTATTTGCTGCAAACAGGCCAGGCTTGAGGTGGGTGGTCTGCAGATGCCCAGTGATGATCCCGAACAAACCAGCCCTGGTCTCTGCCCCATCAGTCCCACCCATCCCTCCACCCACAGGCCTGCTCCACACCCTTTACTCAAAAACCCCTGGAGGGATTTCATACTGTGAGAGATAGAGAACCAGAGAAGCACTTTAAAAATGAACTAGTGGATTTAAACCAGGGACCCTTGTTTAAGGGTGCATTTTTAGCACTAAAATCAGGGCCAGGAATATGAATCCCTCAGTAAGCTGGTTTAATGAATGAGTAAATAATTTCCCTTAAAGGCCCCCCACGCCAATTGGCGGCTAACTGCAGTAACACCTCAGGGTTTCAACCCTGCTTCCTTCCCACTAGGAGGTGCCATGTCATTTATTCAAAGAAAACAAAACAAAACCAAACAAAACAGGGCAAACACATTTCTTAATAAGTGCAGTTTGTTAAAATCCTGTTAAAACATATGAGTCAAGGGGAAGTAAAAATAAAGGGTATCACTGTAGGAAAAGCTTTTGGGTCTGGCACCTGGGAGATGCCTGGAGAGGAGGCAGTGGGAGAAACTTCAAGTTCTGAAGGGAAGGAGCCCCCAACCTCCCCTTCTTCCCTCTCACCCACTGAATCCCGCCAGAAACTACCAAGACGCCCGGAATAAAAGGTTTCAAGTTCAATAGTCACACTCTCTCCAAATACAAAAAGCAGTTACAATTCAACTGAACACAGAAGCTTGTGTGCAAAGTTATGGGGAACTGGGATGTCGTATAAAAAGTCAGGTTCAAGATCATTCTGTGGTTTGGTTTTATGTGTTTTGTTTTGTGGCTCTTCCTCAGTCACCTGAACTCAGGAAAGAAATGCTTATCTTGATGAAATATCAATAGCCGACCCACAGTAAAAACAGACAAATTCTAAAAATTAAAAAAAAGCGCATAATTGCCAAAAAAATATGCCACTGCTTCCTCCCTCCCCATTTTGCTTTTTAAACTTTTTTTTTTAAAGATTTTGATTTTTTTTTTAATCCTGAAAAGTAGACAGTAAACAGCTCCTGGGAGAATTTACAACCAACTGCATGAGGGTCTGGGAAGCTGAGGGTAGAGCAGGGTTGGGAGAGTGAACAGGAAGGGCTTCTCCCCTCAGTCACTGTAGCCTCACTGTATGACCAAGGGAAGGGGGGGATTATTTAGTCAAAAAGGAAGAAGGTAGGAAGAACACGAGGTGGAAGGTAGGGGAGGGGGGAAAATGAAAGGTCATTGTTGCCTGTTTGAATCCAGAGAAAACTGCCTGGCCCTGTGGAGGGAAAGAAGCCCCTCAGAGGGGAGGCAGTGGGCTGGAGGGAGGCAGCCCTGGGATGACCCCATCCCCAGCACCACGGGATCTGGCGGGGGCAGAGGAGGGGCCGAGGCAGGCGCTGGTGGAGGAAGCCGGCAGGGGCCTCCGGGAGCCTCTGGGTCACACTGGCTACTGTGTGCTTGTGCCACCCTGTGTGTTCCCAGAGTAGCTCCCGTAGTCATAGTTCCCGTAGTATGGTGGCCACTGGCCCTGGTTCTGATAGTACTGGTTCCACTGCTGGGCATACTGCGGAGAGAAACCAAGAACACCAAGTTATCCTGCATCTACCCCACATGTAGCTTTCCCAGCAGCCCCGCCCTCACCTAGGACAGAGATAGGTGCTGTGACAACAGCTGAACAAAGGTCCCCTGACAGAGAAATCAAGGCACCTTGGGAAGACCTGATGCCACAGAGGTAGGCAATTAGGGACTGAAGCCCAGGTCTCAGCTTGTCAACCCAGTGCCTTTCAAGTACAGGAGATATCATATTCAAAAGATTTAGTAACAGGTATAGATAGGGGCCTGGGCAGCAACTAGCAGCAGGATTTGGAGCCCCCTGGCCATGGTGCTGAAAGAGGACTCTGAGGCCTCTGCTCTGTTTCCCAGAAGCTGCACTGTGGAGGTGGCTAGGACACCAATTACCTAGCACCCAGTACAGAATTGTTGACCAAATGGAATGGCTGCACCAGAAGAACACTAGGCCAAGGCCAGCAGGCTGTCTTTTTAGGAATAAACAGGGACTCCAGTCTGGGAATACACATCCAGGAGAGGCCCATGGAAGTCTCTTCAGCCAGTTGGCCCCCAGTCTGGCACCTACCTGCTGATACTGGTTATAGCTGGGCTGAGGGTAGGTCTGTGCGGTGGGGGGTGGTGGTGGGGTATAGGGGGCTGGGTTGTAACCGCCGTAGCTCCCATAGTTGTAGGCAGGTGGTGGTGGAGGTGGAGGCGGTGGGGCTGTGTAGCCCTGGCTGTAACCTCCCTGGTTGTAGGGTGGCTGGCTGTAACTCGGCTGGAAAGTGGAGGGAAAAAAGCCAAAGCTCTGTGAAATAGAGGAAATCTGCAGATGTGAAATGCTGGGATGGAAAAAGGGCCTTTGTTAAGTGGTTGGCCCACAGGGGCCCTTCCCTTGCCTGGTGGACACTGTTTGTGGGCTGAGGAGGTGGTGAGCCACCTCCATGCCATAGCCGGACAGGGCAGGATCTGGACTCCAACCCCAGCTCTGACGCACCCGGGGAAGCAAGGTACATGGCACTTCTTGAAATCCCAGTTTTCTTTTTTATAAAATGAGAATCACAATAGAACAACCCCTTTAGCTTGCCCTGAGTATCCAATAAGCTTGTGCGTATAAATCACTGGGCACTCAACAGGTGGTGGTAGTTGATACTGGAAGATCTGCTGAGAAACAGTAGTGCTTCTCAAGTACAGGATGGATCATTTACTCATTTAATCTCCATATCGAATCTGGGGGTAGGTCCCACAAGCTCCATTTTAAAGAGAAAGAAGCAGAGGCTCAAGAAGATGAAATTTCTGGGCCGAGGTCACACAGCAAAAAGGG